TGTTGTGACCGATCTAGTCGGCAAATAACGTAGGATTACAACGGATTCAACCTTAGACGATGGCTTTATTCCGCCTACACGACTCGTGGTCCTTAATCCTATAGTCAGGCGTTCCAATGCCCTACTGAGGGGGAGTCTGGGTCCTAATATACAACAGTAACCACCACAGAACACAAATGATGACGTTCTAGATATAACGATCTTTTTAAAAGATGCTTAAATTTTTCTTTGATTTATATTCAGCTTCACGTCATATTTCTAAGCATTACTACAAGCATGGAAAGTCTCCATATTTTGTCAGCCCCATTTTATCTTTACCAGATAAATTTAGCTTGTCAAAAGGTTCGTTAACATATAATCTTCGTCTGACCTTGTAATCGCCTGAATAGTTGTTGTAAATACCCATCAGCAAAGGAGCATGACCATACATACCTAGATTATACAAACATATACAAGCTTCAGTGAGCAATATCGGGGTGAACTGTGATTTTCCAAGTCCTTTAGAGCTGAAAAAATGAAACCATCCATCTACAGTTAGGACAGCTGGACGACAAAAAGCTTTTGTTGCTTTTTTAAAGAAAATAACCCAAACAAAGGTTTGCATTGAGATGATACAATCGTTATTATATCGAATCAACTGGCCTGCCATTTTGGACTTGGAGAGTGTGGGGACTGGACCGAGTTCCCATCTAAAATTGTTAGAAGATGTAGATGATGTCGACTTTTACTGGGATGATATATTGGTTCACACTCGTACGTGGGAAGAAAGCATTAGAGTCCTCAGAGAGCTGTTTTCGCGCCTTGTACAAGCTGGGTTGATTATTAGACCTACGAAGTGCCTATTCGGAGTAAACAGTGTAGATTTCCTGGGCCATCGACTGTAGCAAGGAATGATTGGTCTACATCAGGATAACGTGGAGAAAATTAAAGATGCCTTATGGCCAAGCACAAAGAAACAGTGCCGGTCATTTATGGGTCTAGCAGGATACTACAGAGATTTCATTCCCACCTTCGTAAAGATCGCAGCGCCCTTATCTGATGTCACACGGAAAGGCCAACCCCATAAAGTTGAGTGGGGTGAAGCACAAGAGAAAGCCTACCAAACAATCAAGTCCTACCTAACAAGTGAACCTATTTTACGTCTCCCCGATCCAGCTAAAACCTATTTCTTATGGACGGACGCTTCTAACAATGGAATTGGTACAGTATTGATGGAAAGGCAAATTGTCAAGTGCGGAGCGCAACTACTCTACCATCGAGAAAGAGTGCCTAGCGACTGTATGGGGAATCAAGAGATTTCATCTATATTTGTAAGTTCTACCTTTTGTGCAGCAGACAGACCACGAGCCGCTGAAGTACATGGACAGTGCAAAATATACGAACGCACGACTCATGCGATGGGCGATGTTGCTACAAAGTTACAATTTCAAGGTGGAAGCCATTAAAGGATCAGAGAATGTTGGAGCGGATTATCTTAGTCGAGTAGAAGAGTAACC